CTTTTTTTCAAAAAATTATAAAACAGTATAGTTGGGCCAGGCGCGGTGGCTCATGCCTGTAATCCCAGCCCTTTGGGAGGCCGAGGCGGGTGGATAACGAGGTCAAGAGATCGAGACCATTCCGGTCAACATGGTGAAACCCCGTCTCTACTAAAAATACAAAAAATTAGCTGGGCATGGTAGCATGTACTGTAATCCCAGCTACTCAGGAGGCTGAGGCAGGAGAATTGCCTGAACCCAGGAAGCAGAGGTTGCGGTGAGCCGAGATCACGCCATTGCACTCCAGCCTGGGTAACAAGAGCGAAATTCCGTCTCAAAAAAAAAAAAAAAAAAAAAAAAAAAAACCAACAGTATAGTGAGAATTGATTGAATGATAGCTACTGGGAACTTTATGGCCCTCTATAGAGTACATGTAGATCAACTCCTTTATTAGAATGATGAGATACCTAGTTCCCCTACCCAGCCACTTTTTTTGAAGGGATATGGAAATGAGAAACTGATCTTGTCTTTGTTAATTCCAAGTCTCTCTTTCATTCCTTTAAGTGCTTCTTTCTTACTTGCTTGTCCTTTTACTGTTATACTCTCTGGAACATCCATGCTATCCAGACAGAAAGAAAACTTTGATTCAGACTCTATAGATTTTTGTCATGGCTTTGCTAGCAATCAGCAATAATTTCCTGAGTGCCTACTGTGTGCTTAGAAATGTGTTGGAGTCCTCCTCCCCCTTTCCCTTAAGCAGAGTACACTGATTTAAGTTAAAGTCTTAATTTTTAGTTAAGACTTTAATTTAAAATCCAATGTTATTTTTAAAATGTTTGTCATTCCTCTTGGATTATTGAAGTCTTTTCCTGTCTATGTGTTGGCTTGGGGGAAATGTCCTTTTTCTCTGTTTATTTCACTTTGCTACAAGCAAAGGAGACGTTTTAAGCTTGGTATTTTTGTGAAGTCTTTTAAAAAGTATTTTCACTTTGTGGTTGGTGGTCTGATTAGTTCATAAAGAATTTGTATTTAGTAGAAGTGCTTTTTATCTAAAAATATAGCTTGAGAGACCAGCTAATACCATGTACACACCTTAAAATATGCCTATGTACATATTTAAGCTCAGTTTGGCTAAAAAATCCTTTGAACTAGAACATCATATATCACTCCCCAACTCCCATGCTCAAATGCTGGCTAATAGGACAATACAAGATAAAGATCCTCTGAACATATAGAACTTATATAAGTCTAAATTTAAACAAATAACCACTGGACTTCAACCACTGCTGGATAAATGTTATCAGCTCAGAAATGGGGACCTAAATACTGATTCATTGATGTTTAATTAAATTTATTATTAATAAATTTATTGGCCCCAAAACAGAGTCTGGGCAGTATGAATTCCATTATGAACGAGGTTACCCTGCCAAAATAAATGACTTGCACAGAATCTTGTTTTCCTCTATGGTTCTTAAGGAAGGTCTTCTTTGCACTATTCAATGTTTTTGGCTTATTTATTATTCCTGGAGGAAATGCTGCACAAAACCACAAATATTTCAAATGTCATTGTTATCATTGAAATTACTCATTCAGACTGCAAATGAAACCAGGAATGTTTTTGCCATTTAAAAGTGCCAGAAGAGGAGTGAACAAAATACGGAGTCTTCAAGGTTAAGCAGATGTGGCAAAAGCACATTCATTCAATGTGGTGTTTTGCTAATGAAAGTAAAAGTTTAATGCATGTTAAGATTTCTCCTCTGCCTTTTGTTAAACTGTAGGTTGACTCTGAAGCTGAAAAAGGAAATTGTAAGAATATAATTTTCTTTAAGATCTGAACCATCAAGAATCCTTGATTGAGTGAAAGATATCTTTTATTTTTAATTAATGCATTGATCTGTGTGATATTGTAATTTAGAAGTTATATTTTACTGAAAAGTGTTTTTAATAGTGTTAACTTGTTTGTTCATCTGGGACAGTTTAATGTTGCAACTTTTTGTTTTTATATATGTGTATATATTTTTTGAGACGGGGTCTCGCTCTGTTGCCCAGGCTGCCGTATAGTGGTGTGATTATAGGTCACTGCAACCTGGAACTCCTGGGCCCAAGCGATCCTCCCACCTCATCCTTCCTAGTAGGTGGGACTATAGGCAAGTGCCACCAAACCTAGCTAGGTGTTTTGGTTTTTTTCAAAATATATTTTTCTTTTTCCTGAGACAGAGTTTCGCTGTTGTTACCCAGGCTGGAGTACAATGGCGTGATCTTGGCTCACTGCAACCTCTGCCTCCTGGGTTTAGGCATTTCTCCTCCCTCAGCCTCACAAGTAGCTGTGACTACAGGCGCACGCCACCATGCCCAGCTAATTTTTGTATTTTTAGTAGAGACAGGGTTTCACCATGTTGACCAGGATGGTCTTGATCTCTTGACCTCGTGATCCACCTGCCTCGGCCTCCCAAAGTGCTGGGATTATAGGCGTGAGCTACTACGCCCGGCCTCAAAATATCTTTTGTAGAAATAGGATCTTCCTACGTTGCTCAGGTTGATCTCCAGCTCCCGCCTCAGCCTCCCAAAGTGCTGGAATTACAGGTGTAATACACCACAGCTGGCCAAGTTGAACTTTGTACGCAAAAACCCCACGTTCAAGTTCCTCAGAACTGGTTTCTAAGACTTCGGTCTCTTTAAGGATGCCTTTTTCACCCTTGGTCTAGGTACTTGATCTTGAAGTTCTAAAATGAGATTTTTCTCTTGGCTTGTGTCCCAGCTTTCTACTTTTTTTGTGAGGGAGGATTCGAAGACGATTACAGGAATTCATTTTTTTTCCTCTTTGCATTTTGAAGATGAAGAAAACATTATCTGTGCATAGTTTAAACTCGTAGATGATTACTTAGAGTAATAATAATAGTATGTGGTATTTACATAAAAAGATGCTATGAGTTAAGAAAATATTAATTCTTACTTCTTTTTTAATGGTGTTAGATTTAGGCACAGTTAAAAATATCAGTGAGGTAGCTGTAGATAACGGATGCTGGTTGCCAACTGATTTCTGGCATTGACAACTCAATTTCCTTTTTGTTCTCCCTGCATCTTCAAGCAGTCATCCTGTAGTTACCACTTGCTGTCCCTCCCTGACATGAGCACCTGTTATTTCACACTCAGTAATGAATACTACAGTTTGTTATTACATTCAATACCTAACTAAATATGACCGATTAATGCTTATGATCCACCTCAAAGTTAAAACCATCTATGAAGCCCCACCCCTCATCCCAGGGGTTCCAACTTGAAATCAACATTTGCATACCTTTAGACAAATTATGGAAATTTCTGGAATGTCAACATACTCTTTATTTGAATTCAAATGACAACGTAGTCAATTTGGGAAAGAAAATCATCCTAATGTAATTTCAGTGTAATTTTGCCGAAAGAGATTTGACAAGCCACCACTCTCTAAGTGAAGATTCTGAGCACTGGGTCTTTGGAGACAGTGGCTACACTCGGCACTGTGCTTGTCCCATTGTAAGCACTCTCTAAATATTTGCTGCATTAAAATTTAAAAAGTCACTCACTCTAAAGGCCATGGAAAACTTTGCTACTTTTTCTTGTGTTGTTTTAAAACAGCATGCTGATTAATTTCCACTATGAAAATAAAAAGTTTTCAGTCTAAATCTAGCTAAGAATTTAATAATAGTGGGGGAGTAGGAGGATGAACTGAGAAAGAAAGAGAAAAGAAAAAATGAAGAGAGCCAGAGGAAAAAAAGAGAAGGGAGGAAGGAAAGAAATGAAGGCAGTCTGCCTCCACAGTGGGTTGCTGTCCTGAGATTAAGCCCGACCGCAGGAAAACCCAGAGGAAGCAAGCATCATTTAACATTCAACTTGCAACTCATTTTGTGACTCTATCATTATGCCAGCTCATTTGTCTGCAGTTTAAAATGTGTTATAAAGTCAAAACTTAGAAGTAAAATTCTTTCACTTCCTGATACTAGAGTGAGCGTAGTACATCTGCCTGTTTTGGATCATTTCTAAGCATTTCTCAAATGTTAGTTCCACTTTGCCTGAAAGATCGTGTTTTGAACCATTAAAAACTGTTGCCTCAAAACGTCATCAGATCACAATTTCTTTTTAAAAATTCTCTCTTGGCAGATATTACCATTTAAAAGGTTTAACATTAGTTACCTTGCCTTGTTAATTTTATTTCTAAAATGTCTCTTTAATATGTCTGCTTTTATCCATCCCTCTAGGCACTCTAAGTCCTTAACACCTCTCACCAGGCCTGTCACTAGGTCCTAGGTGGCCTTCCGTTCCAATCTTTACTAATGTAATTATTTCTTTAGGCTGTTGCCAGGATTATTTTCCCAGGAAATACGATACATCCTGATTTTTTTTTTCTTTCAAAGCCAAAGCTTTCAGTGGTTTGCATTTGCTTACATAGTAAAGTTTGGACTACCTGGCCAATATTCAAGATCTTTTATCATCAGCTTTTCAAATACCTTCTCAGTCTCAGCTTCTCCATTGCTCATTATATTTCTTTACCAATGAGTTACACAAATGCACTGGATACGTTCATATTTCTTTTTCTCTGTTCATGTTAATTCCTCATCCCAAATGTCCTTACTACACTTTTACAGTTTTGGAAATCGTAGCTCAACTCAAATATCGCTTCCTCCACGAAACCCTGAGTGTATTGCTTAGCTGAAGGTGATTGCCCTTTCCACTGTCCCTCACGTGAAGTAAATTAATACGATGTTAGAGATGGACAAAGTTCTACGCTTCAATCAGTCTCCATTCAGGGATCATCTTGGTATTGGAGAGGCAATTTAGTTTTCAATGAAAGAAACAAAGGAGGGTAAATAAAAGAAATATTTATTGGCTCATGTAACTGAAAATCCAGTAGTTGAGCTGGCTGAATTCAGTGCCTGGCTAATGTTCTCAGGAATCTGTCCCTTATTATATTACCTGGCTCGGATTTTCTCCATTTTGGGTTCAGTCTTAAGCAAACCCTACACTCATACATGATGGGAAAGCAATTCTCAGAAGCTCCAGATTTATGTAGTATTTTTAGCTCTCTGAAGGAGAGAAATCCTCGTTCGCTGCATTTATATCAACCCGCCTTAGGACTTGGGTTGTTTGGAGGTGGGGCGTGTGTCTGCCTAGGGGGTATCATTGTTTCTGGGAAGCCTGGGTTCTCTGATTGGCCAGTCCAGGTCATAAGTTTGTTCCTATGACGAGGGAGGTAGGGTCATGAGATGAACAGGCAGAATCATGCAGAGTGAAAAGCAGTTTCCCGAAACAGTAAGTTTTATTCATTACATTCTTTACTGGGTACTTTCCCTTGCTCTCTGTTACAGCCAACTGTTCATTTGTATCTCGTCTTTGAATTCTAAGATTATTGAGAGCAAGAATCGAAACACATTTAATAAATGTTTGTTAGTTGAATGAAGGACCCAACAGGTGGATAACAAATGAAATCATATCCAAAGTCACCATTTTATTTGACTTATGTTCTTCAGAACTTTTAAAAGCCTCATTGACAAGACTTGATACTTTCCAGTGATTAAGGGAAATTGGTGTTCACATAAAATGGTGGACAGGATTAATTTTGAGATACAATCAAGCAACCTAAAATACCGGACCCCAAGTACTTCTTGCCATGATTTGACTAGCAAATCATATAGGTCATTATAAGTTAAAGTTTTACCCTTTAGAAAAATCATTGCTTTTACTAGGAAAAATGTTGAGGTAGTTTATTTCCATTGCTAAAACAACACTTGAAGCTCGCATTTTAAAATTTCTCATAATTTTGCAGTCAGTTTCATTTTTACAGTTTTAGAAAATATAGGGTCTCTCCAAGTAGGGTATTAAAATCTTCAAAATGGAAAATTAAAGAGTAGTTCCTTTTTTCTGTTCTTAATAACTTTAGCTCATCTAAGGAAATAACCCTGCTTTGCATTCTTTGCTCAAAATAGTCTACCTGCTTTATTTAAACTAGTTATTTCATTGACATGATGCTACACAAGACCATTAATCATGGCCATGATATGGACAGTACCGTATTGTGAACACCTAATTTGTAATGTTTTCTTCAATGAGCTTTTAGTAAAGTAATTTCTAAACTTGTTTTCATCAATTCTGTGTTCTAGTGGTTGTATAGTATGAAGGCAAGCATTCTGGATTTGGAACCAGACTCAACCTAATATGAAATCTGACTCTGCCACTGCTTAGCTCTTGGTGTCACAAGTCACTTACCCTCCCTGTACCTCAATTTATTATTCTGTGAAATGGGGCTAATAATATCTGGTTCAGAGAACTGTGAATAATGAAGGGGTAATGTGATATTGTGGACAGAATATATGGCTCACTGCAAGGGCTCAATATAATGTGAAGACTATTATCATTATGGATCCTATTATACTGCTACTAGTACTAATTGCTTTTAGAAAAAGCAAAGTGGGAAATCACTGGGGAAGGAATAGTTGATGGGTCTTACTAAAGCACTCCGGCTTAAAGTGAAAAATGTTTGTGGTGTAAATGTTGGCATTTGAACAATGTTCTTATTCCACCACTGATAAATGCCCTGCTTTCAACCTTTTGATGGACAGATGTCTTCGCTGCTTTAATATCCCACCCGACCATGCTCTTCCTCTGTAACTGCAACTACCCATATTTTGTGACAAAAGACAAAAGATTCTCCCTCCGTAGTTAGACCGTGGGAATCACTAAGCCAGTCCATGTGACTTCTTACCTACCATAAGATAGAAATGACTTACACCTTTTGAGATTAAATTTGATCTTTCTGGGAACTGTAAAGCTACTCTACTCCAGTTTCTTAAATATAAAAGTTGTGAAGTGAAGCAAGGCATAGCATACATGGAGATTTAAATAGCCATTCCGGGGTTCCAACGAGCCACAAATCACGGAGCTCCATTGTATCAGAGTTGTGGTAGTATTAGACTGACCATAGTTTGCTTAACCTTATTGGTGCCACCGTTTTGGAGTAAGCACATTATCTCCCTATAAAGCACATTTCTATTTAACATGTGCACATGCAGCAGGTATTTATTCTTACACCAGTTCCCCACCCATTGTTATTTGCTGTTTATAGCAATTTTAGAAAATATTTATTTTGCAATGATTTCAGACTTATGGGAATGTCACAAGATTGGTTTAGAGAACTAAGGACTTTATTAGGATTCATCAATTTTATTTTGAAGGAGCACATGCTAGAGGTTTTGGTTCATCATTAGTGAGGGAAACAGGCGAATATTACAGCTAGCTTAAAGGTTCATTTATAGATTGGGAATATCAAAATACATTAGCATATGGATGCCAGACTGGCTTCTCTTACAGAAATGGAGGGAAGACAACTGAACCTCTAGTCGACAGAATTTATTTACTGTTTTTCGACAAGAATTATTTTTCATTGCTCTACTGATTCAATAACGTTTAACATTTTACCACATATCATTTATCATTCCCTCTTGCTCTAATTAAATTTTTTGGAACCCTTTGAAAGTAATGTGTATGCACCATGCCCCCATACCCTTTAGTATCTTTAATCCACTCTGAATTGTCTAAGAAAACACATTCTCTTACGTAACAACAACAGGCAATTAAATTCAGGAAACTTATCACTCATACAATACTTTACTCCAGTCTATGGCTCACGTTTTGTCAGTTGTCCTAATAATGTCCTTGATAGCATTTTTTCCATTTGGTAGCGCTGAATTCAGTCCAGGGTCACCCATTTCATCTAATTATCTTTAGTCTCCTTTATATGTTAGAAAATTTGAATTTTGTCTACACTGGAAATTTAGAGTCAAAGCTTGTAGCATTTCTATATTTGCGTGTGCACGTGCGTGTGTTCCTTCATTTATGATAATATCCTTAGCTATTATGTCAAAAGCTGACTTTTTTTAAGTGCATTTCAACTCCAAGGTAATACTGAGGGGAAAATAGCAAGCATAAATCAGAACATCAAAGTAAGTCCCATCATGCCTACAGTGTACAAATAGCTGTTGATGAGTTTGCCATGCTTACTGAACTGAGTAAGTATAAAAGCCTTCCGTGTGCATTCCCGTTTTCAGGCCCAATACAGTACGTTAACCTCAGAATATCAAATTGAATCAGAGGTTCTGAGAAGAGCAGCCTGCAAAGCCGTTAGAATGACACTCTTCATTACACTATCTAGATTCAAGTTTCAGACAACCATAACTGGGGCTTTCCCAACCTCTCACCTAAAGTCAAATGTACACAGTCACCCAGATCACTGCCTGCATTCCTGCAAGGGCTCCCAGACCTCTTAAAGCGGGAAGTCCACTCAGTCCCGGAAAGCTGAGCCTGGAATTATAAAGAACCTTTTTGTGATGACATTTTTCCTGGCGAGGCTCAAATAAACAGCCCCTGCAAGGCAGCTTGCCACACAGTGTGTCAGCACATATTATGCAGTCTGGTGCTGAGTGGAGGTGTCAGCTGCCCATTAGACCACACTAAAATAGAATTGCTGGGAGCCTGAAGCATGAAGCATGATATTAGATAAAGTGATGAAATTTCACTCGATTAAAGAGCCGGGTCAAGGACAGTTACCTCGGGAAATTCCTTTTTTCCTCGAATATTCTTGCAACTTTGATGAATTTATCGTTTTCTTGCTTATTTTTCATTATCGTCTGGGGCTTTATGAACAATAAAATGTGCCATCAGCAGGCACTGACATATTGGAGTGATCAGAATCATAGGTTATGTTGATTCAAAGAAAGAAAGGGGAAAAAAAAGGCGAGATTGACATTGCTGCAGGTCAAAAGCCCTTGGAAATGTTGGAGTGATTTGTTTAGACAGTTGTTTGATTTCTCTCTCTCTCTTTTTCTTTCTCTAGCTCTTTTTTTCCCCCTCAAGTAAAGGGATAGGAAAAAGAACAGAGAAGAGTAATCTTTTTTATTTTAGGCCAGTCGAAGGAGAGGAAAAGAAGCATATGGCTTAGCAGAAATTTTTATTTTTATTTATTTGATTTATAAGGACAGGAGAGAAATGCTTCTTGCAAAGGGCTTCTTTTATCAAAAGGACTTGCAGACTGAAAATAAATGACAACATACCTGCATTGCTTTTTAAACTAGGGTTGGAAAACCACATCTAGCTAGTGTAAAGCTCTCTGGCTGCTCCCCACGGTAGGAAAATAAAAAACAATAACAAACCCACTTTGGTTTATTAGTCTTTTGCTCTGACATAATTTCATTTACAGTAACATTTGAGAGGCGAAGAAAGGAAATGTGAATATTCGGAACAGTTTTTGTTCTACCTGTAGAGCTTAATTCTACAATCCTTCCATCCCCCATGTTGCCAGTAAGGGTAGAATTCTTGCCAACTGGACATACCGGGAAAACCCAGCAGCACCAAGCCTAGCTAATTGGACCATATTGAATTCTAATTCAGTTGGTTCAGTTGGTCCTTCTTTGCGGCAGAAAATTGCTTTAGGCAAATGTGCTGGTCTGAAAGACTGGGAACACTACGGAGGTTTAAGTTTTTAGCACCATCGGGGGTTGTTACAAACTCTGAACTCAATGAACGACTGAGTAGCCTTACTTATATGAATTTCCCAGGCAATATTTTAACTCTGGTGCTTCAGTTCCATTCTAGTATGCAGGCTGCTTGAGTTTTTAAGACTCCCATTTCTTTCTTCATAATATAGGGATACTAGCATAGAATACCTCCTCTAACATTCAAGACTGCAATAAATACGAAATAAGGTCATCTGTTTCCAGATATGCTGCTCCTAAGAGGAAAAGTGTTTTCTAAATTCTAAATAGTGCCATGATATTTTTATAACAATCTTATATTTTAATAAGACAAAGAATTTGTGTGACCCAGTGAGCTGTACTTTCTTGGACTGTGAACCAGAGATGCACTTAAAATTTATATCTTGACCAGGCGCGGTGGCTCACATTTGTAATCCCAGCATTTTGGGAGGCCAAGAGGGGTAGATCACCTGAGGTCAGAAGTTCGAGACCAGCCTGGCCAACATGGTGAAACCTCGTCTCTACTAAAAATCTAAAAATTAGCTGGGTATGGTGGTGGGTTTCTGTAGTTCCGGCTACTTGGGAGGCTGAGACAGGAGAATTGCTCAAACCTGGGAGGCAGAAGTTGAAGTGAGGTGAGATTGCACCACTGCACTCCAGCCTGGGTGACGCAAAAAGACTCTGTTCCCCCGCCCAAAAAATGATATCTTCTTTTTTCAGCAAGTTCCTTAGGTATTACGTCAATGTTTTTATAAATTAGACTTATTTTTCACAACAGCACCCATTCATTAGGTGAGAGTTGATATCTAAGAAGAAATAAATAACAGCTTGGTGGGACTGGCAAGAAACACAGGAGGAGGAGTGCAGTGTTGGTGCTTCAGTTTTCTCATAATTGATAGGACAAAAGTGAGATATCAAACATTTTTTTTCTTTTAATTACAAGGAAAAAAAAGCTACACAGAGATGTTAGACAACTGTTTTTAGATCTGATCAACTGTAATCTAATTTTTCTTTTCTTTCTTCCTCTTGAGTCAAGGGGGTTTTGTTTTTTGTTTTTAAAATATTGAAGTGGTTTGAAAGATGGGAAGGCAGTTGTGCTAAATTTTCTATGATTAGTATGGAAGTGATAACAGCTTTCTTACCCCTTGGGAGAAGAGGTGGCAGTTGGAAACCCATGAACGCGCAGTGCTGTGTCAGCACGCTTTTCACCAAAACAAAACACAGACTAAGAATATCTGCCTGTAATAAAATAATGAGTCTATTACTTTTTCTCAGTATGAAGTGAGGGTTAAAGATGCACATATTATTAGGCAAAAGAGAAGATCATGAAATTGGTGGAGTTTTTAACCCTCCCTTTCCTGTTGGGTGGACACCAGGACTGCTTGGCCGCAACCCTTGGCCTTTTCAAGGCTCCAAGGGCCAGCAGCACCAAGTGTGTTTTTCCCTAGTCGCCTGCTTTGGGATCTTGCTTTTTGTGCTAGTGTCATTTTATTTGAGCCTGATGAAATCTTTCACTAAGCTACAGAACGGAGAAAGTGCATACCAGGGGTTAGTTGCCAGTATAAGGCTTAGTCAGTAAGGTGCAGGAGGAAGCATTTGATACACATTTCTCTCCTCTTCACCAAACACTTGGGCAGCACTCAGCAAGAACTGTATTCTATGTACGGTCATCTTGCTTATGATGAAAATTACATGTTTTATCCCAAGCAACAATAAAAAAAATTACTTTGAAAGCTCTCACTGGCACTTCTAATGAACATGATAAATAGAAGAATATGCTCATCAAAAAATGTTCTCCTTTTTTCTATGATAAACCTGATAAATATTTCATTAGAAGAAGAGTTTGGCTTCTCATGTGAATTATGAAATCCCTGGGGTTATATTAAGGCTGTAAATGTAGTTCAAAGCAGCTCAGAGCCTCGCTTTAGGGGATGGGTGCTTTTTATTTTTTATCCTTTCCCTAGAGGGTCTGATTAGCCCAGAGCTCATTTGGTGCAATAATGGAACAGGAAATTTTCTACGAGCGACTGCAACAGAGCCTCAGTGGAGAGTATGCCACCTTGGGAGAATCAGGTCATTCTCATATCTGCTGGGGAAATGCTTGCTCCCCAAGAGAAAGCAATTGGAAAAATAAATTCTTCTGACAAGTGGAGAACTTCTGTGCAGAATGTTCCTGAACCTTGCCAGAGGGGGAGATTTTGTCTTCCTGATCTGATTGCCCTAGCATTTTTTCTTCTTCTATTTTAAAATTTTGTGGTTTTATTTTATTTTAGCATAAGAGAACTGAAAGGTCAGAATGCTCTAATGTGCATTCTTCTAATCTGAAGGGTTTGTCATTTCAGTTCTGCACCGATTTCTGCCACTTTGGTCAGCACGAAGGAAGAGACACATTTCTTTTTCTCCCTGACACCTTCGATGACATGATACACAAATGATGGACTATGTAATGATTTAACCGAGCCTGATCTTTATGCCTGGGGCACTTGCAGCACTTAAAGCCTCAGTGGGTCTTTATTTATTTATTTTTTAGATCACTCAAAGAGAGAAACCATGCTACGTAAAATTCACTTACAGTTAAATCTTTTACATGGAGATTTTATTTTTTTTCTTATTTCTGACCAACTATCCCCATAAGCTAAAGTGGAAGAGTTCTAGAGGGAAGTTCCACAAATATTTTAATTATCATTTTTTTCCTTTTAATGTCTCGGGTTTTCATATGACCTCTCCCTTATCTGGACACTGTGCAGAGGAGAAATTTCATGTCCTTCCATTTTCAGGGTGATCCCTTGGTTTTGTCACTTTGACCGATTATTTTCTTTCCTGAGTACTACACAGCATACGCTTTCTGCTGGATTCAGCTACGTTCATTCCCCTCTGGTTCACTGTGTTGCAGGTGATGTTATGTACCAGGGATCTTGCTTGAAGCCACTGCTGGATTTCTTAAGAGCACTTGAGCACCTCTTGAATGACATAGGAATTCCTCTGACACCTCTGACATGGTGATTCTTTTAGGACAGGGACATGCCATTTTTTTTTTTTTCTTCTTTTTCTTTCCTGGTTTATCCAGGCAGGATTTAATATAGATATGGATGAGTAGACAGAAAGGATGAGGTAGGTTTTACATATCTGTCTTTTAAATTAATAAAAGCCACAAAAAATATTAAGAATTAAGCTATATTTGGAGAGGCCTCAAGAGAAACCTATCCATCTCCAAGACCCAGTGGCATTTAAATGTCACTCAAGACAAAGCCATCAATTGGTCATGAACTTCATTACAAAGTGTGGAAACAAAGAGAGTGAAAAAATATCTGAAATGTATTTTTTTAGGAAGGCCTTAACCAGTTTAGATGTGGTCAAAGAGCTTTCTTAGAAGCCCTGTCTGAAAGATGTTAGTTTTGCCTAATGCCAATTATTACCAGAATTCAACTGAGATTGAATTTCAGACTATGAGTAGTAAAGGTGAGAAGAGGAGTGGAGGCTGGTGGTCGGTAGGGCTGAGAGGTGGGAGCCGCTGGCTGCTGGGAAACAGGTGTTGCAATTTTTAATGGGCTGGTCAATGTCATTGACAAGATGGCATTTGATTAAGGCCATGAAAAAGAGGACTGAGCCAGCCTTGTAGAATCTTCAGAATGGAGATAAATCAGGTCAAAGGCCATGAGGTAAGGGTGTGCCTGGTTGAGTTTGAAGAAAAGCGAGGAGATCAAATTTCATGGACTGTTGCTGTAAAGGGGAAAGAGGATAATAGGAGGGTAATGAGGGGGTTCTCTTTAAGACACTTGACACTGATGGGCATGACTCAATAGAGCGGAAGAAATTGTTGATGTAGGGAGAGCAATGGGAAGGGAAAAGTTTCAGGAGTCAGGTTTGTGTGAGAGAGGGGAGACAGAACCTAGAATGCAAGTGATGGGTTGGCTTTAGGGTGGAGCTTAGATGGTTTGTTGAAGGTAGGGGTCATCCACTTAAAATGAGATCAGTCAGCAAGCTGTGTGGCTTTGTTCAGCCATGGCCATCTCTGTTTGTGTACAGAGTAAACTGAGTTGATTTATCCTGGCCTGGGACTTTGTTAATCTTCTTAGCGAGACTGTTAAGAATATATGCAAGAATGTGAGATGATGAACCATCAAATCTAATCTAGGTAGAGGAGGAAATTAAGGGACCAAGAAAAGCTTAAGTAGTCAATGATTAATACCTCCTAGTGGGGGTCAAAGGCTTTTGGAGTTGGGGCATTAGTGAGAGTGAGCTGGAAAGACAGAATGGTTGAAACGGTAATTATGGATGACTGTGCTGGTAATGATAAGGCTAGAGTATGGCCTTGGGAAGGAGTGGTTGAGGCAGGGTGGGAAATGTGAGAGTTAAAAAAGAGGGCTTCAAAAAACCAAGAGTCTAGGATATTGGAAAGATCATATGTATGGATATTGACATTACCAAATACATTGGAGAAGTGGCGGTAAGTTAGGTGCTAAAATCTTCATGGAATTAGGTGAGTGACCTGTGGGTCTGTAGGTGACAGCAATAAGCTAGAACAGTGATTGATAAGGCCTAAACATATGGCATTAAAAGATGAGAACTTTGTTGTGTTGTTTGTTCTTGTGGCAGGAAAAAGGATATTCAAGTGGCATATGAAAGCAGAACACCTGCCCTACCTCCAGATCCGGCATTACAAGCACCTTGTAAGATACCACAGCCACCACTTTCAGACTGCTGGGTAAAAGCAAGTGGTTTCCTGAGAGTCTGTCCATTTACAGCAAGAAGTAAAAAAAGGTTCTGAGAAGAAGTGAGGAGAAGCTAACAGCTGAGCATGACTTCCAGAAGACAGTGTGGACAGGTTTCAGGTGAGTGGATGGGAAAAGGGATACCGTAGAGATGACTGAGAATAAGAATCCAGGAAGATCAGCACTGATTGGGAGCTCCAGGCTCCTTGTGAGGTTTGATGCACATGAGAGAATGGCAAAAGCAGATTTGCCTTGAAGTTCTCAATGCAAGCAATGAGGAGAAGGCTGGGAGTGTTGCAGGGCGCTGAGCGTGGAGTCTTGCTGGGAGTGTTCTGAGGCTTCCTCTTTATTCCTGACAGTGGTGAAGTGGGGCCATAGATGGCATAGTCTTTATCCTGACTACTTGGAAATCTGGGAGAGGTGTAGAGACCAGGCGAGGTTCGTCTTTTTCAGCTGATGTGTGGGTGGCTCTTCAGAGCAGATTTGAAAGTGTGCAATGGAAAATGGTGTTGGAAACGAGTTGAGTAGATGAGTCAATGCAACTCTAATTTTAATGCCCCAAACCATGCCCAGCTCAAAAGTCACAGGGTGGTCATAACAGTTCCACTTTTCTACTCCTGTCATCATTAAGCCTCAAATAAATAAAAGAAGGGGCCTGTCTCAACATATCAAAAGCTGCTGAATTGTGTCCATTTATCCTTTCACTGTTGTGAGATGGAGCAGTTGCACCTCAAGTGCATTCACTGGTATAATTTCTAGCAGGAGAGACCACTTCATTCCACGTTGGTGCCCCACTCATCCTCCCAGCATGTTCCATACAAAGAGACATCTGGTTTGCAGAGATGCTCTTAGGAGCCAGCATGATTTGGTGGCTTGAGCACAGGTCCTGGGTGTGAGGAGTGTGCTGAGGATGCAATCATGCATACTTTTCTGGGGATGCACACCTGGACTGCAGAGAGGGGGCTACCAAAAAGCATTTGTCTTGGATGCCAAATACTTTCAGAACAGCTAGTTCCAGTGGAAACCTCTTCAACTCTGGCAAGAATTCCAAGTTTTGAGAGCTGTGCACACTCAATTTACACACTGTATGTGAGCCATTGCTTTGTGCGGAAATGCTTGAATGCAGGTAGAATTCTTGTAATGGGCTTTTAGTGGCATAATACTGCATGCAGAGCGACAAGCCTTAATATATTTCCTCTCTCACAGCTAGGCTTGGAACAGCCTGATGCAAAAATTAATACTTGTTAATGAGTCAAGACCGATTCTAGAATTTAAATAAGTATTCAATGTTTTCAAAGAAACAGGTAATGGAGAAAACTCTGGACAGCTACTGGCAATTTTGAATATCTGCAGAGAGCTAGAGGGATGACAGAAAGAGATTTGCTTCTTTAAGGCTTGTATTAAAAAATGAAACAATACTGTATAATTCCAACTATATGACTTTCTGGAAAAGCCAAAACTATGGAGACAGTAGAAAGATCTGTGGTTGCCAGGGGGCTTGGGATTGGGGGTTAGGGTTGCATAGGTGATGCATAGATAACTTTTAAAGTAGAGAAAATACTCTGCAGAATACTGTAATTACACAAATATATCATGAATATGTGTCATTATACATTCGTCCAAGCCCATGGAATATAGAATATAGAACAGCAAGAGTGAACCCTGTAGTATACTGTAAACTTGTGATGTGTCAATGTAGGTTCATCAGTTACAACAAATGTACTACTCTGATGGAGGATGTTGATGATGGGGGAGGTTGTATTCACATTATGGGGGCAAGGGATATTGGATATTTCTGTATCTTCCTCTCAATTTTGCTATGAACCTAGAATTGCTCTTTAGAAAAAAGTCATTGGCTGGGTGCAGTGGCTCATGCCTGTAATCCCAGCACTTTGGGAGGCTGAGGCAGGCAGATCACCTGAGGTCAGGAGTTCGAGATCAGCCTGGCCAACATGGCAAAACCCCGTTTCTACTAAAAAATACAAAAATTAGCTGGGAGTGCTGGTGGGCACCTGTATCCACAGCTACATGGGAGGCTGAGGCAAGAGAATTGCTTGAACTTGGGAGGTGGAGGTTGCAGTGAGCCAAGATTGTGCCACTGCACTCCAGCCTGGGCAACAAAAGTGAGACTCTGTCTCAAAAAAAAAAAAAAGTCATAAAAAACATAAAACAACAACCAAAAACCCTTTGAACATTTAAGATCTCTTTCTCCCCTGCTCTCTCTTCTCTTACTGTTACTATTAACCACTGTGAACACCTTCATTAATAGGAATGGCTTTTGGCAACCTGTCCCTAGTGATGAACATTTGGGTGGATTTTATTTTGCGGCCATTACCCCAAAACTGTGGTGGACTTCCTTGTGCAGATTATTTTCATGCACTAACGCATGTCTGTCTCTGGGTTAACCACCCAAAAGCATCATTTCTGGTTTAAAGAATGTACACATGTACATGTATTTTTAGTTTGACGAATAAGGCATTTTATTTTAGATTCACAGTGTTCCAGCAAACCAATACGTAAACGATGAATTAAAAGATGTAAAACTAGGTAAAGGAAAAGATAAGTGGCAGGGGAAAAATACAGTGGGTTAATAAGCAAATGAAAAGATACACAATCTTACTCGTCACTAAAGAAATGAAAATTAAAACAAGATACTATTTTACTCAAAAAATGGATAAATATTTATGAGTTTGATCCCACATGGCATTGGGGAGAGAGCGGGAGCCCAGCATATGCATGCCTTCCTGATGGTGGTGTGAACCATCTCGCTTGTTTTGGAAGGCACTTCCGCAAGAGTTTTGCCAGTGTTTTAACTTTCTAATGCCCTGCAACTTGGCCTCGAGCTACACTCTGCTCGCTTGATCAGAGGAAGATTTTCTCTGGGCACCAGTGATAGTTTATTTTTCAGTTTGGAAAGCTGTCTGACTTACCTCATTATGAATCAATGTATCAGTTTAACTCTGAAGGCAAAGGCAATTTTGTTTCATTCATTTAATAGACGTTTGTTAGGCATCTGCTGTGTGCCTCTGGGAACACAGTAGTAACCAGTGGGCATGACAGGCAGGGCCTTTGCTCTCAAATAACTTTTATTTTGATGGAGGAGGGCAGGCAACAAGTAAACACAGAGATACATGATCAATAGCAGGAGAGAGCAAGTACTGTGGTCGAATCAAAACAGGTGACGTGATGGCAAGCAACTGCCGGATATTTAGATCAGTGGCCAGAGGATCATTCTATGGATATGACATTCAGGCTGAATGCTGAATGACAAGAGAGATCTGGCCATGCCAAGACCTGGAGAGGTCCTATGAGCAGAGAGCACAGCATGGGCAAAGGTCCTGGGGGCAGGAAGCCAGTGTTAGGGACTGAATTGTGTTCTCCCAAAATTCATATATTCAAGCCCTGATCTTCAATGTGACTGTATTTGGAGACAGAGCCTTTAAAGTGGTAATTAAGGCTACTTGAGGTCATAAAGGTGGGACCCTAATCCGATAGAATTGGTGTCCCTATAGGAAGAGACACAGGGATGTGTGTGCACAGAGGAAAGACCCTGTGAGGAGACTGTGTGAGGACACTAAACTTGCAGCCACCTTGACTTAGACAACTGGGGTCCAGAAGTGGGAGAAAATAATTGCCTATTTTTTGAATCACCCAGTCTGTGGAATTTTGTTAATCAGCCTGAGCTGATTAAGGCAACCAGTGTGGCTATAGCCTTGTGACCATGAGCTAACAGAGGGCTGGAATGAGCTGGGCTTTGAGGACTGGCATAAAAATGCTGGATGTGGTTTGCAGTATGATGGGACACTATGGGGGGCAGGGGTTAAGTTTGGAATTCGCACTCTACTTGCTGTGAGGAGAGTGGAATGAAATGGGCAAATAGGAAGCAGGAAGGACAATGAGAGGCCTTATCTTATAGAAGTCCAAAAGAGGTCAGGTGTGGTGGCTCACATCTGTAATCCCAGCACTTTGGGAGGCCAAGGTGGGCAGATCACCTGAGGTCAGGAGTTTGAGACCAGCCTGGGCAACATGGTGAAACCCCATCTCTATTAAAAATACAAAAAAATTAGCCAGGAGTTGTGGCACATGTCTGTGATCCCAGCTACTTGGGAGGCTGAGGTAGGAGAATTACTTGAAGCTGGGAGGTGGATGTTGCAGTGAGCTGAGAAGGTGCCATTGCACTCCAGCCTAGGAGACAGAGTGAGACGCATCTCAAATTAAAAAAAAAGTCCAAAAGAGAGGACAGATGATGGTGTTAGCTAGAGTGGCAAGAAAGTGATCAAGAGGGCTGAGTGATCTGGAATATAATGTGGTGAAAGAGAAGGGAACCTTGGGGGCCTCAACCCAGTGGTGCACCCGGGGAGGGCAGTGGGTGTGGTCTGTCCTGGTACCCACAATAGGGGGTGCATTGTCTGGAGAGAATTTAAAGACAATGGTAGTACTGACCCAGAGTCCTCTGCTTCATATTATCACCATGCCCTGATACTTTTAGACAACATTTGGGATAGAACACTCCTCAACATGAGCATGGACACCTCCTATCATCTCCCAGTACCCACCATCTTACTCCCTTGGCCCAGACACTGGGGAGGGAGTGTGAGCCCAGTAACTGCACCCAATAGTGCTGTGAGGCAAACTGAGGGTCTCGAATTCTCACCTAGTAGGTTAGCACCTTCCTCTCCATCCCTGAAGGGTAAGTGGATAAAGACGTGTATGGAGAAAAAAAACAGAATCTCTCCTGCCAACATGTCCCCGCACGACCAGACAGCATGAGCACGAAGAGGTCGCCAGGTGGCCACGTGTTCCCAAATTCTCCCCAGCTTTCAGTTCTCTCTCAAACCTCTGGACTGCTGGTCAAGCCTTTGGTCAGCCAAGGACACAGCTGTCCCCACCGAGAAGTGGTCAGCAGTACGAGGGTCGCTCTGCTCCTTCTGCTGGGCCACTGCCCAATACCCAGCAAGACTCTGAGGATCGTCTCCTGGCCCTGCAGAGCCGTGCAGTTCAGCTCTTACTTCAGTAGGATACAGAGGGGTTACAAAAGGACATTATTTCAAAGGCCAAGCTGAATTTTAGGCTGAGTTCATGCCTCAGCCAATACCCGGGCACACTAACCAAAATAGCGTACCCAAGATTAGGAACTGGGTCCCAAAATAATGCAATGCTGATTCCCCAATGTCAAGAATAGATAACTTATCTCCCTACTAAAGTCCTAGAAGAAACTAGAGCTCAAAACTGAAATAAAAATCGAACTCCCCTTTCCCTTGTCAACCAAAGAAGCCTAATTCTAAAATACCTTCCTCCTCCATCTCCCGTTCTGCCTGGAGTCAGCTTGCCTGGCTGTTGCAGGCTGCTCTGATTTCTAGGGAAGTGCTACAGCTGCTGAATCCTCCTAAGAGTAGATTCAGCCAACCCCAGAGATCTAATGTGTCCCAGGTACGCAAAGGGTCAAAAAGTCACCCTGACTCATAAGATGATTGATCAGAGCATCAGACCCATACACACACCATTTATACATGATCCCCACAGCAAAAGCATTTCACAATAGAAGCGATGTTCCCCTCATACTTTAGCCAGCAATGGATCAAAGCAGAGAGTTGGTGTTGTTATGTGAGGAAGTAGCACAGAGGGAAAAAAAAGTATGAAGGGGAAAAATCATCTTGTCTTTGGATTTGCCTGCGTGCCAGTTACTCTATGCCAGCTGTCTGGAGTATACAACATGTTCACTTAAACTCAATTGGAAAAATTTTCCATCATGAGGTTCAACATACTGCCATATGCTCCTACCCGAGCTTTACATAAGGCCAAAGCTTCCTCGCCTGCGCCGCTGCCGAGAACTTTCTCTTTCTGAATCCTGAGAAGTGAAGACCTCTGCCTGCCATGTGCTTCTTTTCCCAAACTTGCACTAACTGCAGATTTCTTTAGCTCATTCTGGCTGACATAACCCCCAAAACATGTGATTCAGTGGTCCCTGAGAAATAATGACCCCCAAAGCTTTTCCTTTCTCAATATTTTCCTTGACTCCCCAGACTTTGAATAAATTCAGCTGCCCAAAAGGCAGCACAAAATCCCTTGTCAATCACCCATGTCCTGATACATTAAATCCAAGGCAGTGGACAAAGGCAAGAAGCTAAGCAAGCAACCTTGTCTCTCACATGCTCAACTCTCCAAGCAACTCATCCATTTGAATTCTCCAACATTTGAATGTTTCTAGGTTGAACTGAGATGAGTCTTCTTTGACACTATTAAAGTCCTGTTCTTCCCAGGGCTGCAGTCTGTGAAAGGCTCTGTGAGATCCTGAACTCCTGGAGAAATTAGATGGTCCAAGAAAACCTAACTGATGCCAGATGAGAAGTCTCTATCTCTGCTCCAGACCAGATCCCTGCTTATTCATTTTGAGATTCCAAGTAAACAGTGAGTTTCTTTTAGTGGTAATTGTACCTGTGGCCAACTGCATTAGGATCCCTGGCACAGATGCAGATGATTGTCAGTTGCTGGGGCCTATGATTGATAGGTCCAGATTCCTTGGCCTTGTCATTCCAGAGGTGCCGTAATGATGTGCACTGTGAGCAGCAGAAGAATTGGAACAGAGAGAGGAGTGTGGCCTCCATCTCACTCACCATAACCACTGAAGCTAGAAAAAAGCTCACGCTTCTCCTGAGCATGTAAGAGTGAAAACGTAAGCTGATCATCTAGTTTGGAGGCATGGAGACTCTGCCTTCTACGAAAACTGGTCAAATGAGTGGCTGGTACTTTGACCCAAATAGCTCCATAAACAGTACCAAAAGCTTGCCTGTAAAAGACAGGTTGTTGGTTCCAGGTATGTGTCACTACTAGCATGTTTGTATTGCTATAAAGGAATACCTGAGGTTGAATAATTTATAAAGGAAAGAGGTTTGTTTGGCTCCTCATTCTGCAGACTGCACAGAAAGTATGGCATCTGCATCTGTCCCTGGTGAGGACTTCAGGAAGCTTTTACTCATGGTGGAAGGCAAAGGGGAGCTGGTGTGTGCAGAGCTTATATGGCAAGAGAGGAAACGAGAGGGGAGGGAGGTGCCAGGCTCTTTTTAACAACCAGCTGTCATAAGTACTAATAGCAAGAACTCACTCATTACGTGAGAACTGTACCAGGCCTTTCATGAGGGATCTGCCCCCAGAAACCGAGCACCTCCCATCAGGCCCCACCTGGGGAGCCATACTGGGGACCAAATTTCAATATGAGACTTGGTGGGGCCAAACAAATCATACCCAAGCCACAGGATTTTGCCCCCGGTCTTCCAAATCTCATGTTTTTCTCACATGGAAAATACAATCATCCATTCTAGTAGTCCTTAAAAATCTTAACTTGTTCTAGCATCAACTCAAAAGTCCAAAGTGTAAAGTTTCATCTGAAACTCAAGGCAAGTTTCTTAAGCTGTGAGCCTGTAAAATAAAAGACAAGCTATTTACTTCCAAGATGTAATGGTGATACAGACATTGGGTAAACATTTTCATTTCAAAAGGGAGAAATCAGTCAAAAGAAAGGGTCAATAGGCCCCACACTAGTCAGCTGTGCAGACATTAAATCTTCTTCTTCTTCTTGTTTTTTTTGAAGCATAATCTTGCTCTGTTTCCAAGACTGGATTGCAGTGATATGATCATGGCTCACTGCAGCCTCAACCTCCCAAGTTCAAGCAGTCCTCCCACCTCTGTCTCCTGAGTATCTGGGACTGCAGGTGTGCATTACTGCACCTGGCTAATTAAAAAAGAAAAAGAAATTTGTACAGATGGGGTCTCACTATGTTGCTCAGGCTGGTTTTGAACTCCTGGCCTCAAGCAGTTCTCTGATCTCAGTTTCCCAAAGTGTTGGGATTAGAGGCATGAGCCATTGTGCCCAACCAAGAAATTAATTCTTAAAGCTCCAAAATAATCTTCTTTTACTTCATGTCACACATCCTGGGCACACTGGTGTGAGACGTGGGCTCCCAATGTGTTGGGCATCCACCTCCCCATGGCATTGCTGGGTGAGCCCATGTGGGTGCTCTCATGGGTAGGAGTCTGGTGCCAGTGGCATCCAGGCTGAGTGTGCATGCTGCCAGTGACTCTGTCTTTCTGGGGTCTCGAGCATGGCAACCTTCTCTACAGCTCCACTAGGCAGGACTCTAGAAAGCATTCTCTGTGGGAGCTCCAACTCTGTATTTCTGCTTGTCATTGCCTTTGTAGAGGTTCTCTGCATGGGCTCCTGTGTCAGGCTTCTACCTGGGCACCCAGGCTTTTCTATGTATCCTCTGAAATCTAGCTAGAAGCTGCCAAGTCTCCATCACTCCTGAATTCTGGGAGCCTACAGATTTAACACCGTATGAAAGCTGCCAGGGCTTATGGCTTGTGCCTTCTGGAGCAGCAGCCTGCACAGCACCTGGGATCCTTTTAAGCTATGGCTGGAGCTGGAGTGAGAGAAAGGGAGCAGCATCCTGAAATGGCACAGGGCAGTGACATTCTGGACCAGTTCCCCAGAACTGTTCTGTCCTCCTAGGCCTCTGGGATTATATTATTATTATTATTATTATTATTATTTTTGAGACGGAGTCTCTCTCTGTTGCCAGGCTGGAGTGCATTGGCATGATCTCAGCTCACTGTAACCTCTGCCTCCTGGTTCAAGTGATTCTCCTGCCTCAGTTTCCTAAGTAGCTGGGACTACAGGTGTGCGTCATCACGCCAGGATAATTTTTGTATTTTTAGTAGAGACAGGGTTTCACCATGTTGGCCAGGCTGGTCTCGATATCTTGTGATCCGCCTCCCAAATTGCTGGGATTAGAGGCATGAACCACCACACCCAGCCTGGCCTCTGGGATTACCATGGAAAGGGTAGCCTCAAAGATTTCTGAAGTGCGTTCAGAACCTTTTCCTTATTGTCTTGACTGTTAGCACCTGATTCCATTTTATTCTTGCTAATCTCTGTAGCAAGTTGTTGTTCCAAATTTTCACACTCTGCATTTTAATTATAAATTCCAACTTTAGATCGTTTATTTGCTCCTATATCTGATCATAAACTGCTAAAACTAGCTATGACACTTCTTGAATGATTAGCTGCTTAGACATTTCTTGTTCCAGAAAATTGAGAAAAGGAAAAGCTTTTGGGTTCATTATTTCTCAGAGACCACTAAGTAACAGGTTTGGGGAGGTTATGTCAGCCAGAATGAACTAAAGAAATCCACAGTCATTGCAAGTTTGGGAGGAGAAGCACATGGCAGGCAGAGGTCTTCACTTCTCAGGATTCAGAAAAAGTGTCAGCAATGGCTCAGGTGAGCAAGCTTTGGCCTTATGTAAGGCTTGTGTAGGAGCATATGGCAGTATGTTGAACCTCATGATGGAAAATTTTTCCGATTGAGTTTAAGTGAACATAATGTATACTCCACCTTGTGGAAGGCTGATTTTAAGGTTGCTAAACTTGCCTTTGGCAAAGCTCTAGGACATGATCACAATGTGGCCAAGTTCTTTGCTACAGTGTAACAAGAGTGGCCTTGGCTCCAGTTCCCAGTAAGTTCCTCTTTTCCATCTGAGACCTTGTCAGCTTGGCCTTCACTGTCCATATTTCTATCAACATTTTGGCTACAATCACTTAAGCAAATTCTCTAATAAATTTCACTTTCCCTTGTCTTTCTTTTTCCAATTCCTCCAAACTCTTCCAGCCTCTGTCTGTTATCCAGTTCTGAAGCTGCTCCACATTTTCAGATGTCTTCACAGCAACACCCCTCCTTGGAACCAATCTTCTGTTTTAGTCCATTTGTGTTGCCATAAAGAAGTACCTTAGGCTGGGGAACTTATAAAGGAGATAGGTTTATTTAAGTTACAGTTCTGCAGACTGTGCAAGAAGTATATTGCCAGCATCTCCTCCTGGTGAGATCTTTAGGCTGCTTCCATTCATGGTGGAAGGTAAAGGAGAGCTGGCATGTGCAGAGCACATGCAGAGGAAAGGGGAAGTGAGAGAAGGGAAGGAGGTACCAAGCTCTTTTTAACAATCAGTTCTCGTAAGAACTAATGAAGCAGTAACTCATTCATTTCCATGAGAATGGCACCAAGCTATTCATGACGTATTCTACCCGTGTGACCAAAACACCTCCCATCAGCCCCACCTCCAATATTTAGTTTCCCATTTCAGCAGGGGACTTGGCAGGGATCAAATAAATCATATCTAAGCCACAAGCACAGCAGCATCCCACCCAGGTGTACATGCTTCAACAGGATGCCAGTTTTGTTTCAGGTTACAAGACAGTAGTGTATCAGCCAGGGTTTCAACAGAGAAACAGAGTAAGTAGAATGTGGTGTGTGTGTGTGTGTGTGTGTGTGTGTGTGTAAAATGAGACTTATGTGATTGTGGGGATGGACAAGGCAAATCTAGAATCTGTAGGGTGGATCATTAGGAAGGGCAAACTGAACAACCCAACCAGGGGCTGATGCAGCTCACAGCGGGAGTTTTTGTTTCCTCGGGAAAGCTTCAGTTTTGCTCTTAAAGCCTTCCAACTACTTGGATGAAGCTCACGCAGATTATCCAGGATAATAACCCTCATGTAAAGTCAACTAATTATAGACATTAATCAAATCTACAAAATACTTCACAGCAACACCTAGATTAGTGTTTGATTGAATAACTAGGTTCAATAGTCTAGCCAAGTTGACACATGAAATGGACCATCACAAATAGTGAGGAAAACATCCAGCTTTCTCCACTAACTAGGTGAATGTGAGGGGGAGGGTGTATCAGACACTGGAAACAGCATGTGAATAGAAGCACTGAAAAAAACTCAGTGTTGCAGGTAGGATGGAAGGTGGCAAAAACAAACAAAAAAAGAAAAAAAGAAACTCAGAGTGAAGAAGGAAAAGATTTATACAGGTAAGCTGAAAGTTAGGCAGAGGCAAAATCATAAATTGTCTTGCATTTTAGACCTAGGAACTTTAGATTTTATCCATATGCTTAAATCTTAGAATTTTAAGATAGAGAGGGATATGAGAAGATATATGTTTGTGGAAAGATGAAGGATGTGACTCTACGAAGGAACTGGAAGAGACAAAAATGGAGACACAAAGGCAAGCTAAGAGTTAGTGGACAGGATCCAGGGAAGAAATATGTTTCTAGTGGTAAAGCCGACGAGAAGGTATAAATTCATCATCAATTTAGGCTATTTAAGAAATAGAATTTACAACACATGGTAAGGATTGAAAATGGAGTCGAGAAGTCAGAGAAGAGTCCATGTGTCAGGCAACGAACATGGTTTTTGGTCATTCATCTGCTGAAACGGAATTGGGAGGGAGGTCTGATTTATATGCTCTGTGCTCATCGTGTGTGGTATGTGTAGGGATTCTGTATAGAAAGCAGACTGAGCATTCACATGTGAATAGGCAATACTAGAGACCTAGAGAGATGTCTGAGCTGAAAATAGAACTTTCTGGTCTTTTAATATAGATTTCATAGTGAGTTATACAATTGGGAGAAATTATTTCAGAAGTCTATGAGCATGAGGAGACTCCAAAAAGAATAGGAAAAGAGGAAGTAAGAGGACAAGAAAAGAAAAGGGCCAATGGAAAAATTCTCAGTGTCACTAACATTTAAAGGATTGGAATAGAAAGAGCATGTTATGAATGACATAAAAATCAAATAAGGTGAAAGTCTTTTCAATGACTCCCTACATGATGATATTCTGTGGAGTACTTGCTGTCTCTGGTCATCTTAAATGATTTATCTAATTCCCTCTATTGCCAGACACCATTCTAGAGATACAATGATTAGCAAATCTTGATTCAGGTGTTCAAGTATCCTAGAGCAGGGTTTCTTAATTTCAGCAC